AAAATATGCCTGGCCAAGGCGGGATTCGAACCTACGACCTTTGGAATACTAGCCCAATGCTCTTCCAACTGAGCTACGCGGTCAGGACGGTTCGAGTAAGCGATATTTCGGAACTGAGTCTAGTTCCTTCGATATCAGTGTAATCTAATATTTATTTAAATATTAGATTACACTGATATCGAAGGAACTAGACTCAGTTCCGAAATATCGCTTACTCGAACCGTCCTGACCGCGTAGCTCAGTTGGAAGAGCATTGGGCTAGTATTCCAAAGGTCGTAGGTTCGAATCCCGCCTTGGCCAGGCATATTTTTCAAGCCTGCCCGGTGTGAATATACACTCAGAGTAACATCACACAAACATCTTATTCACCTGAGTACATTACACCAACACAGCAGATAATATAAGCAAAATTTAGCGAATCTCAAACATCTCTTTGGCGTATACCATCTACTTTGGCACTGTTTTACAAATAAAGCACCAAACATACTTTTTGAGTTTGTTTGCCGACTGAATCATACTCACAGGCAGATTAGTAAAGGTTAGGAAAGTGACACGTAGGTATGTTAAGAGATCGACAAGATATTCGCTTGGATGATTCTTACTGCCCGAGGTTGACCAATTATACGTAGCTAAAAACAAAATACGACAGCGACGTAAGTTTGTTGCGGATATAATAAAATTATAGTGTATAAGATTGGTATAGTTTCTGCAGTACCATTAAAAGGTCAGTTCACGGGCCGTGTTGACCTACAACCATGGCAAAAATTCTGTGGACACTGTAAAGTCTAAAATATCAGTATACATATAAACATGTTCCCATCTTTGTAGCCCCCCCCCCCCATATAATGTCGATTTTGACATTGCCTTTCACAAAGCATTAACTTACCCAAGTTAGAAGCTTTCAAAATTTAAAAGGGAAAAGGCGCGAGAAGGTAGCTGGATTACCTAAGTCAAGAAATTCATCCATCTTCTGGTTTAATTTCTCGTAAACACGTTGTTCCGCTTCTGCCCGCACATCCTGTAGGAGAATGGAGACGAAACCAAATGAATGGCATATCTCAAACTCATTAATAATTCATGCGAATAATGATGATAATGGATTCCTGGGGATGTATATTGACAAAAATTAATTCACTTCACAATTTTTAAAATGTGCACAAATTCAAAAGGATTTGTTTTGTTTTAACAAGAAGAACTTTCTGCTAAGAAGTTTCTTCAGAAGAGTTTCTGCTAAGAAGTTTCTTCAGAAGAGTTTCTGCTAAGAAGAAGTTTTTTTAGAAGAGTTTCTGCTAAGGAGAAGACACATTTTGAACACTCACCTTGAAAGCACCCAGACCATACACACGCGCCACATTCTCGTCATCATTTGAAGTCCTAGAACAAAGATAAACTAACTGTAGTAAGTCAGGAAATACAAACTTAGAGAGACTCAATTAACCAATCAGACGCGTTTATAATCTACCCATTCAAATGCGTATATTAAGCCAGTTAGAGGTAGTGAAATCTGAACTTCTCTCTTCTCGTTAGGCCAGTTATTGCTGTGAACGTGTAAATAAAAAGTATTTCGTATAAATTAACATACCCAGTCTTTTCGGCAACAAATTCTTCAAGACTAGAACAAGCAGTTTCCAGGTGTAAAGTATTGATCGATGTCTGTACAGTCTGTACAAAAAATAATTTAAATTTGACGCATATTTCAGGTTTATTAAATTACTTCACAATAATGTTAATCCATATATTATAATGTAATAAACAGTTATTCGATGAGGTTTTTGTGATATCCGAAATTATCAAGCTATTGGCCAATCAGAACCTATTTGTGTACGGGTTTTAGCCCCCCGGTGAGATGCCTACGGAGGAGGCTATTCCAAAGCCATCTTAGAACATCTCTGCTTAACATTTAACATATGAATGTTGACACAACATTATACGTTGTATTGACGAGTGTTATATATAAATATTTGCATACAACCTACCTGTGCTAAAGTTAACTTTTTTCTTCTAACAACGTTATTAAGACAACCTTAAAAATAATTTAAGATATACAATTTCATATACGTCGTTTTTGTTGCTGCAAGTATAGGCTTTCTCGGTCATATATATATATATATATATATATATATATATATATATATATATATATATATATATATATATATATATATATATATATATATATATATATATATATATATATATATATATATATATATATATATATATATATATAACATTCGTATTTAAATATATAACATATATATATATATATATATATATATATACGAGTAGGTTTGTGTATACGAAACGCAAAGAGTGCTCAATATCATAAAGATAGAGCAAATGTAGAATTTCGCTTACCTCAAAATTCCGCAACAGTCTGTTTCATCAGTAAAGAATGATTCTTTACTGATGAAACAGACTGTTGCGGAATTTTGAGGTAAGCGAAATTATATATATATATATATATATATATATATATATATATATATATATATATATATATATATATATATATATATATATATATATATATATATAGAGTATATATATATATATA